CACGACATTACAATAGTCAAAATTTCTATTTTCTTTTAGACACACTAGTGTACAGTTACACGTGCCTACTTTACTATATATGATTCACTCCATTATTTTCTTTACTTCAGTTTCATTTTAATCTGTTAGTCTTGTTGACTTTGATTGAACGTTTTAGATTTCTTGATAATGAAACCGTAGGTTTCGAAAGCTCGAAATAAAATTGAAATGAGTTTATTCGCTGCTGTTAAAGCTCTACTATTTGTACTCAGAACTATTCCTATTAAAGAACGATTTATAGAAAACCACATATATTTAAAAATCAAATTTTTCTGAGAGTACGCAATTATATCTTAAATCATCTGTTTGTTGTTATTTTGAAGCATATCAGCTGAATATAAATAAATGTTATAAGATGTGCATGTAAGGTTTAGCAGTGACAAATTCTTCTTATAAAATCAGAAAATACGTTTCCCGACAAAACATTAGATATTGATCTTTTACTCTTACGAAGTATTCTGACAGTTGAACTCATCATCAGACTGTTTGTTCACTATATCATCGATATCGAACTATTCTTGTGGACTATCTGATTCTTCTTTTCTGACACATGCAACATACTTTTCCTCATGTCTTCACAACAAAAATTTTTTACTTATCACCACATTCTGTTCAAAACTAAAAAACGTATCCAATGTTTTTCTTCCACCGAAAGATAGTGCGCAACGCGCACTATCTTTTGACTATTTTGAAGTTGGATTTCGATCGAGTCTCACAGCTGACAGACTCCTGAGAAGTATGACAGGATGTTTTCAGGTTTTGTTCGTGTCCACTCACTTTTGCGCTCGATATGTCCAAGAAGAAACTGTTTTTCAGAAACTAGGTATGCAGCAGTTTCAGTTTTCAACTGTAAGAACTGGATTTGTTTGAGTTGACGAAACTGGACTAAGAACTGGATTTGTGCTGCAGTTCTTAATAGTTCCAGTTAACTGAAACTAGTGCATACCTATCGGAAACAAATAACACACTTTTGTAGTCTAAACTATCGTCCATTCAAGGGTGAAAGAAGGTTTGAAGAATAGAGAAAGCATTTTTTGTGAGACTACTAGACCTGTCCAACAGAAAAAATACCATAGACCATGCAGCTTATTTGTTAAATATCTATAGCTTGGAGATAAAAGAGTCATTCTAGCAGCCTAAATAGCAAGTTAGTGTGGGGAGAAGATGGATTATAAATTCAATTTTGATGGATGGAAGGGCCACCATAACCTGAACCATGAAACGATCCATACGGATCCTCCCATATAAATCCAAAATATTTAAAACACAAATTCAAGCAAATTGATAAGAATTTGTAACAAAAACATCTACAATAATTCAATTTACAGATTTTATTATATAACTAAATAATCCAAAAAATTCATTTACAATTAAAATGATTACCATTGATATAAAAGTTTAAAAGATTTTCTTAAATTATCAAATACTATTTAAGATTAAAGTCATTTTCATATTCTCACACATCAGACATATTTCATGTTTGCCATTCACAAACAACCCTTTTCACCATTATTCCAAAACAAATAATTTTTACAGGTAATATTAATTCAACGTCACACACTGTTGCATAAACAACTACTACAATCAAATATTATCTGATCATTGGGAAATTATAATAAATAGTATTGTTTCATTTTTAATAAAATAACAAAAATATTATAAATGATTCTATAAGATCTGCTACCACAACATATTGATAAAAATAAGTAACTTTATATGCCAACAATCTATTTTCTTTTGACTATGATTTGTACCAAAGACGAAAACTATTAATACCATTTTTGAATAATATATTTCACGAATGAGTTATTCAGTCAAAAGTCATTATTAACACCAAGGTGATATTTTTTATCGTAAATCTGATGATTAAATTGATTAACAATAATAGAAAATGAAGTTAATGGAAATATTAATAATTTTATTATTACTAAAAGTATAATGCACTATCTAACTAAACATGATATATATTTTTGGAAAATATCATTATTAATATGTCATTGAATAATAATAAATATTTATAGATTGATAAAATATCATAGATAAATTTGCGTATGTTAATTCGTTCAAAGATATGAAAAGGTAATAATATGGAAAATATTTTCATCTGAATATACACAGTACTGTACATGTTAAACTTTTTCAGTTATATTCTGACATATTAACTTTTTTATCTGTCTAATTCATCGTTCATTTTCCTAGCAGTAATCTTTAATTTGGTAATACCAAAATGAACATTGGCTATGAAATAAAAGAAAAAAAAAGAATAAATATCATTACTTATGAGGAAACCTCTCAGGGTAATAAATTGTTTTTGACCTCAAACTACTTTGACAAAATAGAGCCTAATGAGCAATGAAAAATCTCAAAAGGGTTTGATTTTCTGGACTTCCAGTGTTAATTTATGCATTTTTTGCTTTGTTCTTGAAAAAACACGATATTGACAGTAAAAATTTGACTTCTCGGCCAACAAGCTGCGACAAAAGCTCATATTTATACTAGAGATACTAGACATTGCAGTGTTGCTCTGGTGCAAGTTTGAGCTTCGCCACTTGCTACCACCCAGAGATATCGATTTTTTATTTGAATCAGAAATCATGACGCCACATACACTACTGCTGCTCGATTCAAGCATCAGTCGATACTCAAAATGAGGATCCAGATCCAGAAAACGTTACAAATAAAGCAAAATATATGTGAAAAATAACAAAATATTTCTTTAAAAAGATAAGAAAAAGTAGGAACAAGAATGGTATGCTGTCTCTCCTTCTCTCTTCAAAATCTGCGTGAGTGATTTGAAACGGTGTATACTAGGATTAAAGGAAGAAGAGGAATAAAAAGAATGGTACGGTGAATAAATGATGGTGTTAGTGATAATAAATAGAAAATAGAAGAATTAGCAAGATCTCCCATTCGATCTCAATATCCCTTCTGTGCTGAATGATTAACAAATTCTTTGCCATAAAATACCTGATTCTTATATTCATTTTTAGGTTTATCCAATCTTTCTTGTATGTCCACTCGAATCCCTGATGCAAGAGAAAAGAACGTGAACGAGCTTTGAGAATTTTTGAGCAAAAATGTTATGATCATTGTAATGGTTCAACATATCTATCCAGTATTTATCTTTCATCAATATGATCTATTTCAATAAGAATAATTTGTTAATTTCAAATCAATGTTGCAGGAAATGAAAATGTTTAACGCAATTTCTATCAACATTAGTATATGCGGCGTCATTATTTCTGGTTCAAATAAAAAATCGATATCTCTTGGTGGCAGCAAGTGACGAAGCTCAAACTTGCCCCCCCCCAACACTTGTTGCCGGAGCAACACTGCAATTTCTAGTAGCAGTAGTATAAATATGAGCTTTATTGCAGCTCGTTGGCCGAGAAGTCAAATTTTTACTGTGAATATCGTGTTTTTTCAAGAAAACAGAAAAAATTCATAACTCAACACTGGAAGTTCAGAAAATCAAACCTTTTTGAAATTTTTCATTGCTCATTAATCTCTATCTTATCAAAGCAGTTTGAGATCAAAAACGATTTATTACCTTAAGAGTTCCCTCATCAGTATCATATATATTCAACATCTGCTTCTGAACCGTAAATTAAATCTTTCATACAACGCACGTGTCACAAACAGTACGATCTTGCAGTGAGGAGACAAACTTTAATTGTTTAATCCAGTGAGAATCACTAGTTAAAATGTCTTCGCTTATCGATATTTTGATTTTATTACAAGTCAAGTAAATCACTTACTAAAAGCATCATTTGTTTCTTTTTCTATGTCATCCATTAGTGATGTTGATTTTCCAAGATATGTATTTTCCTCTTCAGATTTTAGCATTTGAAGCATTGCCGTCTCTTGTCTTCGTTCTGATGACACATCTTTATTAATATTTGATTTACTAGAGTGTTGAAAATAATGTATTATCTTAGGTAATTTCCATCGAAATTTCGCTTTATTTTTTTGCGTATGTATCAATGTATTATCGACTGTGTTTACGTTCTCATTCATGTTTTTCAATTGTTTTTGTCGAGTAAGTTTCTTAATGTAAATAAAAGAGGATAGACAAACAATATTGTTTAAAACTCACTAATATACTTACTATTATTGTGTCTGCTACAATTTCTTCAGATTCTGAAATTAAATCAACCATATTGCGACTACTCTCAAGCATGTCAGTTTTGTGTTGATAGATCTGTTTTTGAATCGATTGCAACGATTCATTGTCCTTTTTATTACAATTAATAGCACTCATTTTCTATAAAGCAAACAAATATTCTGGTAAATTTGAGAAAACGTTAACTAAAAATGGAATGAAAAGTGTATTTACAAGAGGCATTAAATCAGTGAGAATCAGATAATTACTGTTAAATGACGAAAAATAAAGTTACTTTCTAACAATCTTATTCGGCTCTACTTCCAAAAAATACGTGAAATCCAATTTCTAAACTCTGAAAGCATAAAGTGACTGAGACTTACTGAAGTTATTCTAACAGTTTCAAAAATAGCAGCATCTTCAGAGATATCGACAGTAAGGGGATTATCTGCTACACTTAAATCATATATACTCATTAACATTAATCCTATAAATGTTGTAAACATCCATGCTTCATCTCTAACATTTAATGAGTAATAAACAAAACACCTGTGTGTTTGCCCGTTATTTCACCACCGTTTTTCTCATCATTGTCGATTTTCTAACGTGGTTTCTGCTTTTACTTTCTGCGAACAACATATATAGATTTATATTTATATATTCATTTTTTTTCTGATAGTATTTCCTTTATTCTCTCCAGCTGTATTATTACTTTTT